GCCCGAATATTTTTTTGATATATGTGATAAATTCTAAGCATATCCTAATAGTATATTGTTTTTTTGGGGTTTTTTTAGAAATTTTTGTATGTGGTGATTTTGAATTTGTACTATTGGAACAAGTGTGTGATGGAATCATTGATTGTGCTGACTTCAGTGACGAGCTACAGTCTTGCCGTAAGTATGGAAATAAATAAACATTGTACACATATGCTGGGGTGCAATCTACAAATTTTGAGTCTTTGCATAGAATTTGCAGGAACTCCAATTTGTAGTATTTGGGTATAATGCGCAGAATCTTCCTAAATCAGAGTGGTTGCATATCTTTATATTGTTAAATATTTCAAACACAAAAAGTTTACAACTAAAGCAAATAAACTATTGATTAATTTGTACTTTTTAATATAGGAATTATTTCACTTATTGTGGAAAATTGTCTTTAATATCTTAATTACTGTATAATCTTTATTTGTATACCAAACAACAATTTGTTATTTTTAAATATAAAATACTCATTTGACTAAATAAGAGCTCACCCTACCAGTAGGCCTCCCTGTTATAACCCTCATCTCATCTCTATATGCTATCTGTACGCGTTCTACCAATTCTACCATAACGCTAAACGAAATATAAACATGACACTGTATTATCAATATACTCTAATTGTATTATAAAACAATGATTGTTTGTTTACAGCTTGTAGTGACGGCAGTTTTCAGTGTGCGAATGGTGTCTGTATTGCCGCTGAGAAACGATGTGACCGAGAAAATAACTGTCTCGATTGGTCAGATGAACAAGGCTGCTGGAATGGTAAGAGTAATTCACAGAGAGGGATTGATGTGTTTAATGTGACTAAGCACCAGCAGATTTTTTTAAACGTGAAAAAATAATTTTAAAAATTGTATTGCATTTTGTAGTATAGTAATGTATATAGCTATGTAATTGTTTACTTTTTCACAATTTTAAGTGATGGTATTTACCAATTGTACACTCAACGTTTCACACACCACACTTTTTCGTTGTTTGTAGGTGGAATTTGTGGAATACTGAAATACCTTGAAGATTTATATATATCGTTGTACTGTGCTATTATTATTTTTTTTAAATTATTAATATTCAATTTTTTGTCACACTCTATTGTTTATTTTTCATTATCTGTTTGTGTTTAATTTGCGTGAGATAAGCTGTAGACTTTACTGTAGTTTAAGATTAGGTCTGGGGTCCCCTTACAGGCTACTGTCTCCTTGGTACCTGGTACTTGTAGGCCTATCAGCTTTTATAAAAAAAAATGTAACGATACACAAATGAATAAATATTGTATTTAAATAAGGATTAAAACCGTCGCCATTATTAATCTGAATTCCAATAGCAAATTACCCAAAAATACAATAATGATTTTATATAGTCTTAATATGCCAATTCATGGTTATTGACTGAACTGCGCATGCACGTATCCTACAGTATCCAGGCCAATCAACATACACTTGTTTTAATGGCGTTTTTGTTGATTGGCCTTGAAAACAGCCTGCCCGGTTCTAACTATCAATTGGCTTTTTATGTAATCTGGAATATCTTCACTGTGCTGAAATTTTTTTTCATAGGCATACTATGCTTAATCTTACAACCAATGTGACGATTGGTGAGAGCAGGTTAGCTTAGTCGGCTAAACTGGTGGTAGCCACTGTGTGTGTGTGCACTGAAGCGTGGACATCTCTAGGCGGTCCCCGGTTCAATTCATATCGCTGCTTTCCTTGTGTTTCAGCTGGAGGGCTGAATTACAAGTTACAATAGTGCACTGTCTTTTGGATGAGACCTTTAAGCCATTGGTCTATTGTGCATTATGGCCCATGTGCATGTTAAAGAATGCAATATCACTATTTGGAAAATAGTATTGGATTGTGTCCCGGTGTACTGCTCAATCACCACCAGAAGGACCCCACTGGAAATAAGTCCTATTTAGACTTTTGTGGGTTATCCTTGGTGTTTACACCGAATAAATTCGTCCATTATCAGACTAAAACCTGTTATGTCGATCACTATTTTTACTCTAACTTGAGTAAGTTATTTCTTTATAACAGTTACTTCTGAAAAATGTGGATCACAACCTTTCTTACCTGCTGAAGATAG